CTGCTTGTCCTCCATTGCCATCCTGAAGAGGTGAGTGTTCATATTCCAATGAAAATACAAAAGATTTTTTACAAATGCACATTTCTTTTTAAAAGCCCCATAATACCTCTAGATTCCCATTTAAGCCCCTTCCCTTCGTTCCCCTAAACAGCAAAATAATTCTTACATCCGTAACCCCGGCTCCAGGGGCCGGCTTGCCAGCTCTGTCACTGCACTTACAGGTTTTGAAGAGATGGAGCTGGTTACGGTCTCTGCAGTAACAGGTAGATGAAGACAAATGTACACTTTAAATCAATGAGGTAACGTTTCATACATTCAGTGGTGTAAATAAATACCAGCAGAGTTTTATAGGAACATGAGTATAAGTTTAAGGGTTTTATTATCAAAGTTTTGTAAAACAATTTCAGAAACTGTACATCGACATGGCACAGACTGTAGCCTACTTTTGTCTTTTTACCTGCACAAAAGTAAAAGCTCTTGAACTTCTGTAACTAAGAGAACAGCTTGCCTAACTACTGTGCATATAACATGGAACCACTGTGTGCATAAGGTTACTACTGCAGTGACAGTAAACACAAATTTATTAGTTTAAACAACTTGAGATCAAGTAAAAAGTACATTATCAAGTAGACTTGCTTTTAAAAGCATACGAAGGTCAATTTAAAATGCACTACCTTTTTGCAACATGTTCAGCTCGTTAACAAATAAAATGACCTGGATTACGAAAACTGCACGAGTCAACCTTTAATCACTGGGCGCTGATCAGGCAGAGACTCTCACCTCCTGAGGCTCAAGAGGCAGCGTTCGGAACCGCTACGACTTGCCCGAGATGGATTTGAACTGACAGACTCAAAGCCCTCAAAAAGGTTAGTGCATTTTAACTTTGTCAGAGCCAAACAAAACCCACCGGGAAAAAGAAAACAAAACAAACCAACCCCAGCCACATGGCTTAAAAAAAAAAACAAAACAGAAAACTATCTCTATCAGAATGCTTATTTTCAGATGTACTGTCGATTTGTTTTTTTTGTGTAGTCACACTTAAGACCCTTAAGTAGATCCACCCTATGCTGTAGGACTTTAGAACATTGAGGATGTTTCTGCCACACAACATGCAGTCAGTGCATTCCCTATACTGCTCTAGTACTGCAATGAATCAAATTCTAGAAACACTATCATAGGTGAGCTGATTTACTACAGGAGATCATACAACAACAGTCCATGCCTGCTGGAGACGCATGCAGCTTGGTACTTTTGCTTGAAGCATCACCAAGTTAGTAAAAACCGCTCGGCTGCGCGATCCCGTTCGGCCGTAACGAGCACGGTTACCTCTCTAGAAAGCTTTTGACGTGAGTTAGTATCAGGAGATTTACAGACCAGGTATAGCTCAGAGTTGTAGACATCTAGATTTAGGATTAACAAGTACAGCGTAAAAGAATCACACAGGAATGACACTGATGCACGTCTGCAGCTGCGCTCGCTGCAAAGGCAACGCTCAGTCACTCATGTCCATGTCCTCTTCATGGTGATCATCCCCATTCACTTTGGACTCCCTCCCTGAATCCCCACTGCCTTTATCAGCGGCAGGCTCCTTGCCTTTAGGGGAGGAAGAATCTGCCATTTTCTTTTCTTCCTTTTTCTCCTTCTCGCTGTCATACCCTTGTTCCTCTTCGTCATAATCCCTTGTGACCTGCTTTGCCGAGATAAAAAAAAAAATAATTAAAACTTGCTTTCCGGGACCCTGTCAGTTTGAGGTTAATGCTGCAGCACAGGCAGTGCAGCTGAACAGGTTTTTAAACATACTTTCACATCTTTATCACTCTCGGATTTTCGTTCTCGATCCTTCTCTTTGTCTTTGCTTTTTTTTTTCTTGCTTGTTGACCGCTCCCTCTCATCTCTGCTTCTCTCCTTGTCTTTATCCTTCTTTTTTTCCTTTTTATGTCTAGGAGAAGAATGAAAACCACAATCGCACCATCCCGTGAGTGAACACAGGCCACGTCCAGACTTTACCCACAGTTCATCACAAGCCTACAGGGAGAAACAGCGACGTGCAACTACAACACACCGCTCCCTGTCAGAAAATAACCAAACGTCCCCACTTCTTGGCCAAACACAGCCACCACAAAGCAAAGTCTACGAAACGCTGCATTAAGAACAGCAGCGCTAGGGTGCTTTAGGAAGAGCTCCTTGAGTTCAGGGAGAGAGGGTCACAAAATGGCCAGGCCCACCCAAAAGTCAGTTGACTCCTGTTGTACAGAACCAGACGGGCCAGAAACTCTGGGTGTCTCCTGCTCCTCACCCCTGGAATGCCTCACGCTTGGAGTTCTTGGGCACTAACACAGAAGCGCTGCGCTTGAAGGCAATTACATGATGGCAAAAGCAGCAGCAGGCAGCAGAAACCCACCCGCTGAAGAAGTCAACCTACAGGCCAGGTGTAAGGGACAAGCCCAACAGACACCAGCTTCAAAACTACCGCCCTGTGACCATTGCTGCAGCTCACAGCTCGGGAATCTTCCACCTAGACACCACCTCTGTTTTCAGCCAAGAGGCTTTACTGACCTTCTTGGAGACGGGGACCGGGACATTTTCCTTTTAGGAGACCTGGGTTTTTTAGGTGACCGTGTTCCACTTCTGCTTCTTTTCCCTACAGAAGAGAGAGACCAAAGCTTTTGTGGGTTTAAGGCTACAAGCACATCTCCGGCTCCAAAACCTGCACTGCTCCCAAGGCAGAAGTACGTGTAACCCCCAGGGGCAGTACTGCAAAGCCCTTGCAGCTGCTGACCGCAGCCCGACTTGTTTCCTGCTCCACCACCACCTTCATGAACAAATTGCTGGCTTGGACTGCATGAGGGGTACTGACTCTTCACAGAGACAAACCAGTTTGCTCTTGGTAATACTGTAAGTTAATTTTGGAAGTTTTTAAAAAAAGAATGGCACATTTTGCATGCATTTATTGCACACACCAGGAAAGAGTTCACCATGACCTCAAAGCATCACACGTACTCTCTTTGACAGAGAGCAAGCAGGAACTATCCTAAGCACCAAGAATACCCCCAGAAAATTACAGCATGAGGGGAAAAAATAAAGCATTTTATGGACACAGGCAGAGAGAGTACAGATGGCTTGTGCAGATACCCAGTATAAGAACAACAGAATGAGCATCCCAGTCCACACCAGAATGTTCTTTCTATCGAAGTGAAGGCAGCGTGCTGAAAACAGAGACCAGAAACCTTTGTGTAACTGTACCTGCTTGTGCTTCTCGAGCGTCTGGTTGTGCTGTAGCTTTTGGGGGGAGTTTTAGAACGTTTCTTTTCTTTCTCTTCCTTCTTTTTATCCCTTTTAGTAAAACACAGATTTTAAGTTTAAGTCATTTTCAAACTATTCAAGCAGCATTCACTACTTCTGCTATGCAGGAAAACAACTGAAGACATGATAGCTACTACACAGGATAGCACACACTGTTCCCTATTTCTGGGGGCCAGCCACGTTACAGCAACAGAACAAAGACTACCACTGTCTGTAGCAAAATAGGAGCACAACTCTTACAGCGTCAGTGTATGAACAGCACGAAACCTGCAAGTCTAGATGCCCACACTTCCTGCTTGCCAGGGCAAGCGTCATGCAATTCTGCAAGACGTTACAAGAGACTGTGACTTTAAAAAGAGCCACTAGTTCCTTTTGCCCTAGGTTATTTGTTTGTTTCTGGGGTTGTTTGTTTGGGGTTTTGTTTGTTTGTTTGTTTTAAATTAAGCACCAAAATTTAATAATTTACTTCCTAACAAACAGAATAGATTTACTGAAGCAACTACCTGGTTTTGGATGTGCTCCTAGACCGTCTGCTTCTCTCTCTGGAATGAGATCTTCTTCGCCTTGGACTTTTAGATCGCCTCCTGCTTCTTGACTTTGAATGCGACCTTCTCCTTGATCTGCTTCTCGACCGTCTACCAGTGACACACAGCACACAGGAGTTAAAATACATGACATTTTGATACACTATTCAGAATCCATCTGCTAACGGTACTGTAATGCCCAATGATACAGAAACACAAAACAGCAAAGGAGTCGCACTGAGGCCGCCAACCAAGGAAATGGAAAAAGCAAGTGCACAAATGCTGAAGAACCGTGATGCTTCCATCTTATTACTCTCCCTGTAAGAAACTATCAGTCCTGTTGTAGTGGAAAACTGGTAAGTCACACTGAAACGTGGAGAAATTTTTGGAACACTGAACCAAATGCAAGTTAATGACCGAGTACGCAAACAGTGAGGAAGTAGAGATGGGAAGGCCGGAGGCAACACGGCTTTGCACGGACACAGGCACACACGGTCTGGCTGGACTTGGCAAGCCAAGAGCACACATGAACCGTGCGTCTTTCTGTTGGGGCAGGACAGTATTAACATCTCCAGTCAGGATACCTGAACAGGCCTGACCTCCAAGTAAATCATAACCTAGGAAACGCTGGAGAAACTTTTGTCCCAGATACTGCCACTAAGCTTAATCTGTTGCACACATCAGAACCCGACAGCTGAACGTTGAGCTACATAAATAACAATGCCCAGAGAAGCCTCCTATGGTTTTAAGACAGGTTATGATTACCACAGGAGCACACTGGAAAGCGACTGATGACAGAACAGAGGTTTAAAGACCTACTGCAAAGTGGACAGCCCACAATGGCGCAGGTGTCACAGTGCTGACATTACTTCCAAGAAGCATTTTTGAAGGAATTCTTTCAGCTATTCAGCTATGTGGCTTTTTTTTTTTTTTTTTTTTAAGGCAAATAAGCTAACTACCTGTGTCTAGATGAAGAAGGTGTCCTCCTCCTCCTTGAGCGTGACCTTGACCTTGAATGCCTTCTTTTTTCATCTTTTTTGTCTAGAGTTAAAAAGGAAAAACACGGTAAAACACTCAGTGTTATTTTAGTATTCAGTAAGATTTTATGAAGGAAAGGAAGTTGAGCTTCATGCTATAGATGTAAATAAGATAAAGAAAACCCAAGGAATATTTTGACATTTGAAATTAAGGCTTACCTATCCTTTTCCTCAAAAGATGCCATGAAGAAGGAGCACATGACAAAGACATGTGACATAGAACTAATATAAAGTTTGAAGTCGTCAAAATTCAGAAAACGTTTAAATCAGTTAAAAGATGATAGCTGCAGGGCAATGGAAAGTCTTGTTAAAAATCTCAGAATCTCTGCCATTTTGTGAAGGGCTAAAGAACCTCTCAAATTATTATTTTGAATTTGCCCCCAAAAGCCTCAAGCAAAACAATTGGCATATTTTTCTGGTATAATAGAAAAACAGGAGCTCTGGTCTTTCCTGAAAATGATCAGGAAGCTGCGAAACTGTATTTCCAGTGTTGCAAGTTACTGTTCTCAGATTTGGTGAATCTGACATTTGTGGATGAACTGCTGCATCTTGTTCTAAAATAAAGTCTACTGAAAGAAGCTACCAAAAAAAATATTTACAAACTTCCACAGATCTGGTATTAGAAGAAAGGCAATCATCCCCAAGAACAAACATCACCAGGAGGTCAAGTGATTAGGCCACTTGCTGTTTCCAGTGACATCTCAGAGGTGGCAGTACAAACTCCTATCAGGGGAAGCTCGAGCATTTTGCAACCTTCAAATCAAGTGAAGTTTGAGAAAAAACAACAGATGACTAATACCATGCAGCATTCATACTGTAGGACAATTAAAAATCTGTCAACTATAAATTAAGTCACTACAGAACACGAAGGCATTAAGCCAGTATTTTGCAGACTATTAGCTTTTATCACATACTACACCAAAACTCCACCTTGAATTCAATGAGGTATTCTGTGACTTAAAATTACCTGGCTCAATAGCAGCAGAAATTAGTGACTGTGCTTCTCGTACTCTTTTCATAGCTTCTTCTATTTCTTTACTGGAGGTATCTGATTTCAGACTTGGTGAAACAAGACCTGCAGCTACATGGTTCAACCTGGTAAACAAAGAATTTTAGAACTTCAGTATCGCTTCAGTATCCCAGAAACACCCACCTCCGTTGTCAGTTTGCAGCCTACCAAAGTGACTGATCTACGTGAATCTGAATCCACCTGCGTTCTGTCGTTGTTCAGATCCAGACCAGTAAGGCTAATATGTGCTATCTGTGCTGAAGAGTGGCATGAGGTACCAGCACATACGGCTCTTAGAATTCCAGTAAACCTCAAATAGCAGGGAAGTTTGTCTGGTCTTGCACAAAAAGGCTTCTAACGACACTTCTCAGAACATTTTGGTACAACATAATTTCAATTCTCATCACCTGAAAGAGCAACTCCACAGGAAACGGTGTATTACACCGCGGAAAGTCAGTTCCCACATTCATAAGCCACAATGAGAAGCTTACAAACAGGGATGAAATTTAACATTCAGAAGATGTGTTCTATAAGGTGGCTCCAAAGCCCGCGAGGTACACCCAATACACCTGACTGACATTTAGCTAACCCATTATCTTGGGTAACCAATTTGTTCAATCAGTCACGCATTCCCTGCTTACAGAAATGTCAATTTACAATAGGGAACAATACACTAGAACAGTACTAAAAGTGAAGACAGATCACATATCCAGCTTTATCCCCAGGTACGGAGTAGATGGCTCTGGCAAACAGCACGCCAATAGAGTGCTCCAATCCTTCCTGACTTGCTGTCCCCATACTACCTTGAACACAATCACCCTTCTTCTGAATGTCGAAACAAATATCAGCAAATACTTGTGCTTACTGTTATTTACTCTTTTTTTTTTTTTCTACCAAGTAGTAAGACATGCTGTCTTTTGTTACCTTCTGACAGCTCTAACATACACAGACTCCTTTATTATTGTCTCTCACACCCGCTGCTGCTCTTGGCTCACTCAGCCACAGCCCTTTCATTCCAGCCTCGCAGCATGTACCACAAAAGTGACAAAAATGACACAGGAAAAAATGAATTTATGTCTCTAGCAAAATGAGATCCCAGAAATTAATTGGTGTTATTCCGTAGATGCAAGGCTGAATAGTCTTTATTTCCTCCCCCTCTCCTCTCTACCAGAGAAAAGAGCCTGCACAACATCCCCAAGACACTCATGTTCTCCAACCTTAATTAGATCCAGCAGGACAAAGGTTGGGTACTGAAATCACAACAGACACTCCCAAGATTAAGTCTACTGCAACACAAGCATTCGTAAAATGACGCTTACTTTGGATCCACTGTGCTCATCAGTTTTAGTAGCTGATCTGCTGCAAGAGACTGTGAGGGAAACAAAAAAAAAAGGTTAAAACCATAAGTTCAAACCACGTTGGAAGGCGCGCATGCATAAGAAGGTCATCTTCCTTGAACGTACCCTCAGCAGCAGCTAAAGCAAAACCTCTCTACAGATGAAAAACACAGAACAGAACACGCCCCAAACAAGTTACAGCCGAAAGAGCACACTGTTCTGTTTCAAAACTCGTGGACGGCAGTGAGGGTGTGAACATCGCATTTCAGTGGTGCTCATGTACTTTCTTTCCCCACAGTGGCCAAACAAAGGCCCTGGACAGAATCAAAGCACTTGAAAATAAAAATACCCTTCTGGTAGTTACAGGTTATTTCTCTGTTACTTCAAGAGAACAGAGACCTCATTAGAGAACTGAGTTGCCTGTCCATGGGAAGGCCTCAGTGTCAGTCTACAAACAATAAGCAAAAGCTTCTTTACTCTAAAAACTCTGCAAAGATACCTATTTTACAGCTCTTAGGACAATCCAGGTATTATTACAACTGGTCACTTCCTGTACCAGTGGTGTATTAACAACAAAATGTTTAGTCCCCACTAATTTTCTTCATACAGAGACAAAATGCGAAGTCTGTTACAATCAGCTGGCTTAATGGACACAGGAAACTATCCCTCATGGTACCAAATCTCTATTTTTCTAATATGCACTCAGAATGCTTAGTTTTTTTCATTTGTTGTTTCATTATCACCATTATTTGCTTGTTATTACATAGCATGCATAAAAAGAATGCTAAATAATGGATTTCTTAGCAATGCATTAAATTATTACTACTTTTTGTACCTGTACAACATGTTCTCTGCACGGCATTTGGTTCTTGGATCTTAAATACTAACTCAATGTTCTACTCACTATTACTTAGAAGTCTTTTTTTGTTCAGTTTTAAAAAGACTCCAGTCTAACAAAGTCTCCTCAGTATTTACTACACCTACAAAGTTAAAAAGTCAAACAATTTTCTTTTACTGTAAGTACAAGACAGATTCACAGCTTGATAATGGCACATAATTGAAATATTTCATTCCTAGTCCCAAATTAGTTTTTAGGTCCTTCCAGCATTTAGTGTGATACTCCTACAGACACTATTTATTCCAAACAGGTGCTCAGAAAAATCAATCAGTGGGTTTTTCAGACAGCGGCTGTTAAACTGATGTGAAAGAAAGTCACTTAAAACAGCAAGGGTCGCAAAAGAAAAGCGTTCACATCCAAACCTGCCGTGCCAAGAAACAAAGACTGCACTCTACAACAACCCTAAGAAGTTAAAGAACCAGCCGCCCGTGCAGACTACATTGAGCCAAGCCTTTAATAGAAAGTAGTATTTTATAAGACTTCTTCAATCCTAACTACAGTACTTCCAGATCTTCAGCTGGTCATTTAATACACTGGTGAACACCGAGAGCATCACATATGCAAGTCAAACTACGTATGTGCTAGGGACAATAAAGAAAATTTTAGAATGTGTGACATACCTGAGAGTTCAGGTTTGCTCCAGGAAGCCCAAGAGCAGCTAGGGCAGGATCAAGAGCAGGAGCTCCTAAAGCAGCTAAAGGAACAGCACCAATCTGTAACAAAGACAGCGATTAGAGAAAGCAGGTGATAAAAAGCTGCTAGATCAAGACTCCCATCCATCAGACATGTGGAAACTTGAACTGCCTTTTCCTTAGGCTTCTAGCTGCAGGAAACATTAGACTGAGGTCAGTGAAAGTATTTCAGTTTTTCTTATTCAGGTATTCCAAAGCTTAGTTTATGAAAGATTTTTTTTTTTCCTATAAATATTCTAAAATTAAATTGTTTCCTCTGCATCCCAACAGGGAGGTGGTATAAAAAAGTAAAGCATTCCACTACGTTCAAGACATAAGTTTAAAATTAAATTCTTTTCCAGTGTTGCAATGAAAATTCACTGCAAGTTTCTGAGCCATCTGGCACCTATCTAAATCAACAGGACTGAAATTAACATGTTTTATGTTAAAAGATGATATTATTACATTTCTGCAAATTTCTCAAATTTCGTTAAAACTGCCAAATAGGTTGAAAAGCTACTGACAGAATAAGTAGGATGATGGCACAGGTCTGAATTCCTTACATTAATCTAGAAGCCTCATAAAAAGCCTCAATCAATTTTTGGCCATTTAAAATGAGATGACCAAAACCTAACACTGAACCCCCCCCACCACGCTGTGCCAAAACCCAACACTCTCACGTTAACCAAACACTGTGCTGTTGCTGTGAGGTCTTGCTCTCCCTTCCTCCATTCTCACTGCCTCCTTTCTGACTGCTCTGGCAGCACTTGAGACTCATTTATCAACCAATTCAACCCACTGAATTGTCAGAGAACTCATTGTTGTGCCATCTGTACCAAGCTAACACAATAGTTCACAAAGGATCCGATGAGCCCCAGAGCCAGCACAAAACCAGCAGCAAGAGCATGCAGTCCAGAGCAAGGGAGCAGAACCTTCCACTTCTTGGCAATGAGTTTTTCAGTCAGCTCACCTCTTGAAACCGTACAGGCTTCTCCCTGTAGCCTCAAAAGAAGCCCGATTCCCACACACTGGTTTTGGGTCTATAACTACAGCTCTAATTTGGTTCTACTGAGCGAGATGCCCAACTCCCAGCAACAGTCCACAGGAGCTACATAACAAGCTTCTAAGTGTGGGTGAAAAGAATGACCACCTGCCACAATTTCCATAAAATGGATGTGTTAAATAAATTCCACCATTAAGGGGACTGCGAGTAAGCTGGGATTCAGAGTGACAGAATTACAACTAAGGTGGTTCAACAACCATCTTCAGGAATTTACATAATACAGGTTTTGGTGAAAGAGATCTTTAAGACAGCATCTATTTCTTCCATCCCCTTCCTCGAGTTTCAAAGTTAAACTTTAGACTTTTCCCTCTACATATGGTTAAAGAGACCTTCTGAACAACTCAATGGCAAGCACATCTTTCATGCAATCTGAAATCTTAACAGAACCTACACAAAGAAGAGCTAAGCAAAAGCTGAAGAAGTAGATTTGAGAACTGCTGAGTAAATGAAGCTTTAGAGTTATTAATTTGCCTCTTGTACTTTGATTCTTCTGTCCTCTCGTAAGTGCTTTGACTGAAACTTTTTCCACAGTGTATTGCTGTTCACCTTCCATATGAATCCTTGTGTATTCAGGTAACTGACAAACACACGCTGTAATCTTCCCCCCTCAGCTGGAGTACTAACGGAAGGTATCTCCACAGCATGCCAATTCCTTGAACATCACAAATTTAAAATCTACAAGATCTCTACCGCTTGTCACACCTGTCTGTAAGCATGTCACGGATAAAAGAGGGATGAGAGAGGTATAAACACAGGGCCCCTGAGACACCAGAAGCATCAGGAGGGAAACAAAAGCATCCCATCTAGCAGCTTATCACCATTTTGCCACAATTGATATCAAATCCATCAAGGTACGTAAACGAAAACATTCTAGGAATCTGAATTAGCATACCAGCCTATTAGTACTGAAAAAAACCCAACAGAAAGCAAGTCAGGATCAAACAGAATCCATCCAACCATTTCCCTTGACCTTGGGCTAAGTAGAAAGCCTACCTGAGAGAGTGGGTTGGGAGTAGGCAGGAGTCCACCTCCAGGCAGCAGACCTGCCACAGCATTAGCTGGTGCCAAGAGAGACAAAGCCTTAGTCTCATCAGGAATAACTCCTGCAGAGAAATAGCCTTGCATTAGAACGCATTCCATTTCAAAGGCAGAAAATACACAAATACACCCAGAAAATGTCTCCCTGATACACCACCTGAGTTTGTTGAAAGTACTTATGTTGGCTAAAATACAAAGCTTGATGTCTATTAATATTTATCATTAACTTTTTTGTCAGAATGAAACTTCAATGTGTGAAAATTTGACTGTTCCTTTTTCTCTACAAATGGTTAAGTTTCTAGAGCAAAAAAATAGCACAATACACACTACTTTTTTGTTAACACTGCCAAGATTTCATCACCTGTACTCGATTTTTAAGTCATGAACCAAACGTAAGCAAGCACAGTCGGTTCTCCAGGGGTGTGCTCTCAACTTTCAAAAGCTGTTTTATGAACAACGACTCGTGTCGGCTGCTTCACTATAAAGCACACAGAAAAATCAAGATACACAAGACAAAAAAAGTTTGATTTAGGGGTTAATAATATGGTACAGTTCACTATGTTTTCTTTTACACCTACCATACAAATTTTGTAAAACTTAAGAGAAGGTATGGAAATATTTTTTGCTGAATCAAGCGTAGGGCTTTTGCTGACTTGTCAAATGAAAATGAAAGTCTCTGCAGATCTTCAAATACACGCTGTGTGTGTGTGTCTGCGGGTGGATGGGTGCATACGTACAGTATATTGCGGCACATTCCTTACCTGTGCAGTAAAATGCATTTGTTCCAATATGTGCCATGCTTATTGTACCAAGAATGCTGCTACATACTGCCATTTCAGAAGAAACTTCTGGCCCAAAATCTTGCAGCCAACTAAGACAAGTGTCTTATTTTACTGCCTGCTCTGCACGTATAATTTTAAAGGTCCTACTACGAAACAAGTAATTAGGTAGGTATTTTTACTCTATCCAACAGCAAAAGCCCTATACAGATGGATTAATTTGTTAATGTGCCCAAGCCCCCAAAATGAGAGTTCAATAAAACAATTTTACTATATATTTGCAAATACCAGTAGTGTTTCTGTAATACATATTAAGAAACTGCATCTCATCATAAAACATACAATATGTACAGGGCACTTAAGAGAAACTGGATAAGCTGCAGAAGAAAACTGTTGGGTGGTATTTTCAGCAGGGCCTGGTATATAGTTCAGGCTGAACCAGGGAAAAGAACTGTAAAACACAACAACAAAAAAGAAAAACCACTGTTAAATAAAGGTAATGGTTCCTTCCACCTATACTGAGAAGTGCCGATAATATAAACAAATGTATAATACACAGCACTGTTATCTTGCTTGTGTCATTGAGCTGTCATCAATTTAGATACCAAAAGTTATGGAGGGAGAGGGGGGGAAAAAGGTCATTTAGATAAAGGGCATTAATGCATCAATATATTAACATACCTACAGAGAGATTATGGGGTAATTTTGCATGCAAAATTATGTCTCAGAGGATAGTTATAAATTATATCTAAACATTTCAAATTAGTGCAACTACAACATTTCTGGTATCTAAATACAAATCCTCAGACTTATCTTGAGACACCTCATAGAAGATCTGCATCCATTAAAAAAAATCATGCATCTGATCCTCTAATTGTTTTTTAAAAAAGTATTTAGAAATAAATAAACTACAATTTTTTAAAAAAAGCAATGAGGCCCCTCACCAGTTAATTTTCATGCTTCAAGAGCTTTTTTTACTGCTGCTTTGTTAGAACCATGAAATACTGCATGAATGTGTAGAAATGAAAGAAAAAGAAACAGACAAAAGAAACAAACATTAACCAAAGAACCTAAATACCCCCCCCAGTCATCTTTAATCTTAGAGCTCCTTCCAAATCTAGGAACATCACAGTGAAAATTACAAATACTAAACCTTACCGTAGACTTTGTGTATAGTTCTATAACACAAAGCAACAGCCAACACCAAAATGTCTGTGTATGCTAAAACTGGAGTGCGCTTGTGATATAGGGGATAATTATTGCACTAAACAGATAATAAACATTTACTTTAGTGACAGGCAATATTAATACAGAATTATCACAACAGAAAATAAAAGATACAAGGGCCCAGTTCAGCACAGTAGTTAAGCATATGCCTGGCTTTAAGCACATGAGCAATTTCACTACAGTTTTAAGAATCTTGCTGTATTGTGCTTAAGTAGCTTGTTGAATTGGGACCCTGGCAGTACGCATTTGCAGGGAGAGCTGTACTCCAGCACAGGGACAGAAGCATGCGATTACAAACCAGGGGGCATAACTTTATTGGCCAACACATCTCTTGTGATACGCCACATCATTAGGCCAAAACCACCCACATTCTGAACCGCTAGAACACCGCTAGAAACAGCCCCTGAGGAACTCCTTGATTTAAGCAGGCCCATTAAAATATTCTACTTTATTAGTTTTCTTTTCTTTACACGATCTGAACCAAATCTACTGGGTAGATTTCTCTATGTGCCAGATTTATCCACCATCAAGCACAATGGACAAAGTCAGACTGACAAAGAGAAAAAGGTTTTTATCCTTACTGGAAAAGTTAAATGCTAACATTCTTCACCATGGGCCTTGGAGAGTATTCCAGTACTCACTCAGACGGACTGTTGCTATACCATGCTTTAATACCAAGACGAGGACAAGATGCCTTTCGACTACGCTACTGTACCTAAACTAGCAAAAGCAGAGGCAGTAACTCAACGGCAATTTCAGAATGTGTTCTGTACTCTCAAAAAGCAGCACCTCTCAATCAAAGGTCATGCTGCAGATTCCTGCATTCCAGAAATTAAGTTTTCACATCTTTTAAGTTTAAGGAATACAAAGATAACACAGCTCCCCAGGCCTCAAAAGACAGCCTACGGCATTACAACGTCTTGATTACAGGTCTGAACCCAGGCCATGTACCAAATTCATTACTGTAGTATGACTTAACCTGCAGAGATTATTTAATTCAAGCGATCTGGGAAAATCCATAATTTCAGAAGTAAATCAAGAAACAGTACAATGGAAATCAGTTACTTCTAAAGCAAGTCTAGAAGAGTTTAATAAGACTTCTGTAAGAAGAGGTGTCTTCTCAGCACTTTGTTTTTAAGGTAAGTTCCAAAAACCCTGCTCATTGCCTTTCAAATTACTGTAACACCCTAAAATGTAAAAATAAAAAGAAGAAGAGAAAATGTAGTTAACAAGTGGTTACACCAGGAAAACACTTGGGGACTTGAGTGCTTGCTGGCCTTTAGTTAATGTCTAGAATCCCCTGTAGCTGCAGAGGACCCACTGTTTTTCAGTCATCTGGAAGGGCTTTGCATTTGCCTTCTCCACTACAAAAATCACACACACAAATAACAGAGAGAAGAGTTTATTATTTAGTGAAATTCTAGAAAATATATCAAGGATGAACAAGAAAACTTGGAATAAAAAACTAGCACCAGTGCCCATTTGGCACCTCTTGGAAGATCCCACTTTCAAATTAAACCATAATTATTCAAACCCTTGGTATACTGGACCTCACAAGGAGAGCGAGTGCCTTTTTGGGGAAGTTCCCAACTAAATGCAGTCGCAGCATATCTCAGAGAAATGTTAATCTGCTCTCCCATGCACTTGCACGGAGGGAGAAACCATTCTCGTGGAGAGATTTATGCCTATGTGAAAGTGGTATACACTTAATTATTAATGCAAAATTTCCTTAAAATGTTGAACTGTTTGCACAAGTCTGTTTAGGAAAATGCCTCATTGAGACGGATAATGAGCAAAATTCGCAAATAATTCTCCTAAAATGTTAATATTCTAAACTGAAGACACACAAAACCAGTAAGAAGTAAACTTTCTGCTTTCATTCAGTGTCACTAGACATAAAAAAATTATTAGATCCATGGGCCAATGGCAATATACCAAGGGTTTCGAAATGTTAATATCTTACATGTCTGACATTTTACTAGTGCTCATTTTTGTGAACTATACTGGAATAAAAATGCCATCATATGGTGGCTTCATAGGCCATTAAACAATTCACAAACCTTCTGCATATGGTACGACTATCAACGCTCTGTCAACGAATACAGTGTTTGTCAGATGCTGGGCCACAACTGCGGAGTCAGGATCATGGAACTTTACAAAACAGACACGCGATGAAACAGGCAAAGGAGAATCACTGAAAAAGAAAGAAATAAGTTACTTAGACGGAAGCAGGTCTGAAGCCTGAAACTTGTAGTTCACCAAGCCAGGAAGTCACAGGGACTACGGGCACTTCTTCACACACGAACATGATCTCAGGTTTTGTATCAAATACCATTTGGCATGACCTCAGAGATGAAATTATACCGAATTAAGCCAATTCACTGTAAAGCTGCAGAAAGAGTCTTACTGCCTCATTCTTAACCGGACATTAATTCCATTATGCGCAACGTATCTGTGACTAGCCACCTCTATGCAAATTAGTTTTCATGACTTGCCTGTGAGCAGGGAAGGAGACAAAAACTTTGCTCAAGATAACTACTATGTACACTGTGCAAGCTAACAAACCCTGAAGCTTTATATTGTCTGCTTTAGGGCCCAAATTACTTAAGGTAAATTATGAAACAAAGACGGTAATGATTAAAAGACCACAATGATTTTACTTATCAACACAATTCTAGACCAAATTCCATCACGCTTCTTCTCACACACACAGCCACTGCCAAGTTCATTCTGAAGCGGCGTGCACTGCTGGACATATGTCTATCCCTCAGCAGCAACAGAACTACACGCAACAAAACTCAAGAAGCTCAGGCAGGCGACATGGCAGTTGAAATCTCACTAATGGGCGAAAAGTTCCTAAAGAACCGATCAGCAAATGCAGACCTCTTTACAAGACAGGTCTGCACCTACTCCAACGCTAAATGAGCGCCTCTCCACAGAGCTGCATAAAAAAATCCCAGACGTGGAAAATCCAAAAGAGAATGCAGAAGTTTTGAATTACTTGGGGGAAGAAAAAAAAAAAAAAAAAAAAAAAAAAAGGGGAAGAATTGGTAGGCCATACAACTGTGCCCCACTCCCCTTCCCTGAAACAAAGCCAAACCAAACCCCTAAAAACCAGAGGCAGAATCATCCTGGTAAAGGTCCAGAACAGGTTTCAAAAGCCCATATATCCTGAAAATGGTACAGGTTTTGGTTTACTCAGATGTATAAAAGACAGCAAGAAGAACTGTTACGCAGACACAACTGTGCAGCAGATGAGTTAAAAGCTGCCTCCAGAAGGCGCTGGGCAGACACTGAAAGTAGCAGCACGTCCTAAAACTCTAGTTCCTAAACAAGGCCAGGGTACACGGGCTGTTCAGTTCCGCCCTCAAGTGCCAGAGGTACAAGAGGCAGCTCTGAAAAACATTCACTGATTTTTCATGGCAAAGATCTACCTTCACTAACTCCATTCTCAGAAACAGTTACAAGACCAGCTCTTCAAAATGCATCCCACTGCCAAAACAATTTTATCTAGATTGAAGGATGTTGATCAAGTCTTTAAGCACTAAAAGCGCAGAGAGAGTCGTCAGAATTCAGAGGAAAATTACTTTGACATCAACAAGACAGACATCCAAGACCAAGTGCCAAAAACTATCCAACCCTCACCACCACGGAGCACAGGCTCAGCCCGTTATGCAAACTCAAGAACTGCCATAAACAGATCACACTTGAACATACTTTAAAAGCTGCAATATGCTGGCTCCAGTCTGGTTTTTAACACCAGGTTGAATTTAAAAATATGAAAATTAGAAACATCCGCTTCATCCAACATCTTGTAGAGTTAATAAATTGGAAAATAACGCTGTAGCAATAAATGGCACAGAGATAGAAAACCCAAAACCATTAGCTCTTTTGCACCTACGAATACACAGTAGCTTGCCAAAATGGTGCCTTTTCGTAACCTATGGGCGTGAAACCACAAAAACCAAAGCAGCATTAGCAGACAGTATTTAATGAAATCACAGCAGTAAAATTTTAAAGAAAAGTAAATCAAGGAGTTATGGCACACCTGAATGGTATACTGCTCTAAGGTCTAAAAAATTAAACAATTCATTACATAAATGCAGTCCAATATTTTCATTCATTCTTAAAATGTCTGTGATAACATGGGAACATGAAACAGAGTCCATGCTGTTCATACATGAGTATGACCACATACTAAACCATACAGCTAGCTGAATCTACAACTGCAAATATGTCAGGCTAGGCTTACGCAGCCTGACACTTAATGTACATCAGTGTATTTCATTTTTAAAAATCTATTTCCAGTCACTCTAAAACCCAAGCTGTGGCTGAGTGAAATTCATCAAGAACAGAATGTTCTCAAGAATTACCAAAAAAAGGCCATCATTATTCTAATTCACCAGAGATTGAAAAATTTAGCAATTCTCTCTCAGACACCGTGCCAACGAATGCTGAGACGCACGGTGATTTACTGGGGTTGGCATCCGAGCAACGCGCCCACTCCGAAGTACAGCAGCTCCTGAAATGCAGCAGATAAGCAGGGAAATCAACCTTTGTGTCATAACCTCTAACTACTGCGTCCACCAAGGTTTCCCCATATTGCAACCAGCGTCTTAAATATTAAATCAAAATTTTTTAAGGGATATTTCTGCCACTTCCATAAACACTGTTACTGGCATTATTACTGATGTAAAATCAGGCTCGAGTTGGGCTGGAGTAAACAGACTGTCCATGCAAGAGACGTTCTTCAACATTACAACATTCATTGGGTGGGAAAAAATAAGAGTTTAAAAACCCCAAAAAACAACCAAAAGAACCACCAACTCACGTACTTCACTCGGAAACGGAAGTCGCCAGCCTTTCACCTCTAACAACCTTCCTTAAAAACTGGACAAAACATTAAAATACGGAGCAGCACATCAAGTAAGTGCACCCGTTCAAAGGCGCGTTACCGTGCTGGCTGCCAAGCGTCAACCGTTCTACCTTTTAAGCACAGCTATCCCAGCTATTAACAACACAACTTGCATGCCAGCACTGTCCCTCACTTTAAGTTACACACAGAGTCCACTTCCTTCTGTCCTTCAATTTCCAGCATGAAATTGCCAAAATCCAAGCCAAAGAAACCCCAAGAACACATAGTTTCTGAACTTGCACACATAACCAGCTAGCAGGATGTGTGAGTTCTCCTGGTTTTGTACTAGCAGGGACTAAAGACCCAATGATGAAAAAAAAAAGAATGCTTTACGCTAGATTTTTTTTCCCCAAAGTAAAAAAACCCCAACAGTCTCGGGTATTAACAATAATTGGCTGTGCTCGTTTGATTTTTCTCCAAACAATCTTCGTTCATCATGGTAATAACAAACCTTTGTACTTACATAATTCATATGCAAAGCTCAACATATGACATTAGATTCTGTAAAATAAATCAAACTGACATGACCAAAGTCAACCTTAACACCTAACTAACACAATAAATGTGTATTAGTTGTATATTGGTGATTACCTGCCCATTTTCCACAGAATTCTTCGCAAGGGATGAATACTTTTATCAAAATTTTAGTTTTATGGCCAACCATCCATAAGCTGCCTACAGTGCTGGAGGTTAGCCCGACAGCAGAGCTTAGCGACACAGCCCTTCGACAAACAGCTCCAGAAATACGTGCCTCTGACACGGGAGGAATCCCGCGTCTAACCGCCTACCGTAAATTACTGCCCTTTCCCCACGTACGTGCATAACGTAATCACGTAAAAAATTACAATTGTAATAAGCACGTAAACTCTTACAGCAACTGTATCCGAAAAGAAAGGCTGCCGAGGCATCG